TTGTATTATTTCCTTTCTTTTTCATTTTCTGTTTTTGCCTTCCTATTGATTGTGAGACTATGTTGACTGTAGTTGTTTGATATTTGGGCCCGTTTTGGGGTCAAAAAATCTAGCACCAACAGACAACTAACATAGCAACACCATACAACTAATATTGCAACATGATAAGACTAACCTAGCAGAGATATATAACTAACATAGCAACACCATACAAGAAATATTGCAACATGATAAAACTAACCTAGCAAATATATATAAAACTAACCTAGCACCAACATAAAGCTAACATAGCAACACCATACAACTAATATTGCAAGATGATAAAACTAACCTAGCAGAGATATATAACTAACCTAGCACCAACATAAAGCTAACATAGCAACACCATACAACTAACATTGCAACATGATAAATCTAACCTAGCAGAGATATATAACTAACCTAGGACTAACAAAAAGCTAACATAGCAACACCATACAACTAACATTGCAACATGATAAGACTAACCTAATAGAGATATATAACTAATCTAGCACCAACATAAAGCTAACATAGCAACACCATACAACTAACATTGCAACATGATAAGACTAACCTAGCAGAGATATATAACTAACCTAGCACCAACATAAAGCTAACATAGCAACACCATACAACTAACATTGCAACATGATAAAACTAACCTAGCAGAGATATATAACTAACCTATAACATAAAGCTAACATAGCAACACCATACAACTAACATTGCAACATGATAAGACTAACCTAGTAGAGATATATATAACTAACCTAGCACCAACATAAAGCTAACATAGCAACACCATACAACTAACATTGCAACATGATAAGACTAACCTAGCAGAGATATATAACTAACCTAGCACCAACATAAAGCTAACATAGCAACACCATACAACTAACATTGCAACATGATAAAACTAACCTAGCAGAGATATATAACTAACCTAGCACCAACATAAAAAAAAATGCTCTCTCCTCTCTCTACGTTTCTCTCTCTATACTTTCCACATTTTCCGACTGCCCCGTTCCCCTAGATGCATCCGTCCATTCCTCCGTCACCGGCCGCCTCGACGCTAGCGCCGGCGATGGAACCTCTGCCAGCCGATTTACATTCCCCATCCACTATCTCGCAGACATACCTCAGCAAAATTCTCTCGCATCCCGACTTCGGTAAAACCCTATTGGCTTTCATGGACAACAGATTCAAAAAATCCATAGTAGAAGAAGCTCCGACCTCGCTCTTTCCCTCCATGGACTTTCAACCACCTCCAGAAGCAGGCCACATCGGCGTTTCAAAAGCAGGTCAAATCGGCTCTTCCTCTGTGACAAAGAAGTCACCATCTGCGCCCGACCTACTCCTCATTTCAGAAGATAGAAAAGGGCTGTTCCCGCAAGCTACGACCACCGATTCAAGTGATTTAACCTCAAGAGTCCGATTTGGATCCCTACCGCTTATTTCCCGAGCAGAAATTATCTCCTCGCCGGTCAAAGATTTGCTCACGCCGTTGCACTCCATCGTATCTGCTGGCGGCGACCGAGTACTCTCCAACCCTCAGCTCCCAGGACACGTGGACGGTGGTGCTTCTGTCCCTCAGCTCACAAGACACGTGGACGATCGTGATATAAGGTATAGTTTCCCTTCAATTTCTCCCGTTGGGCCTCATCGCCCCTCAACCCAAAATCCCGGACAATCCCAATTTGGGCCGTATCTCCAGCCCACTATCCCCACCCAATCTGCTACCCAACCCACATCTTCCCCAGGCCTACCCTTGGGCCTCCAACCGCAACCCACCACCTCTCACCAGCCCACCAACCCACATATTTCCTCTCCAAACACCTATCCTATTATCAATCCACAGACTGCGGCAATATTCACGCACTCCCCAGACATCATTTCTGCCTCGCTTAATCCTCTTACATCGGCCCAACCAACATCCCTGACCTCAGTTGGCACCGTACCAATTTCGGCTCCCAACAATACTCAGTCAGTTGGCATCTCAGCCCCGGAACTGACAAGTACAGAATGCCACGCGGTGGCATCTCAGCGCCGGCGATGGTGACGGATTCTGGCAAGTCACCGGAGCCTCCTCTGTGGCCGAGACAATTGACAAGATGGACGGTTCTCTCCCGAGACTTCCTCCTCCTCTAACCGATGACATGGAGATGAACGTTTTAAATATATGAGAGGATGGGGTAGTCGTTACAAGGCCAAGCTCAGCGGCTGCGGCTCAACCCACCGGACATTCCCCAACCGGGCCACAACCGAAAGACGCCTCCACGGCCAATCTCACAACAACCGGGCAAACTACAGAACCACCCACTGGCCGACCTTCATTCCGGGATGTTGTTTCAGGGAAGAGAGTTGGTAGTCCGAATGCCACGCGGTCGAAAAATGGAGGCTCGAGCTCCCCGAACCCAACACCGAAAGATTTCCCATTCGACGGGAATTACGAACATGCTTGCGGCACCATCATCCGCTCGGAGGGGAACAAAGTGAAGGCCCGCTTCTCCGACGCTGAATCTGGCGACCTGTCAGGTAAACTAGATAACACCCTATTATTTAAGTTCTCATATGCTATCCCCGACCCTCGAGATATATCTGCTGGATTAAGGAAA